GATGAGACAACGAATTAGTTCGTTCTCACAACCCAACAGCGTTAGTGATTCCTATATCAACCTACGTATGAGTTGGATAAACTAATTATTTTTCTCCGTGATGTGTGAGAGCAGTGCGCCAGTGCGCGCGCGCGCGCGGTGTGTGTGAGTGCAGGCAATTAGCACCCTTGTAAGGACAACTCTGCTACCCCATGCGGGGCACCAGTTTTATCCGCCGTAGCCGTAACCCTTGATAAGTTGAAGTGAAAAGTCCGAGATAGAAATGGAACGAGGGGGCAACAATTTCGGGAATCATGTGTGTGTACACCGCCGGCGAATAAACAGGATAAAAATTGATGAAAATCAACAGAAATCGCAGAAACTAAGCGGGAAACTAGTGGGACTGGTACAAATTAGTCGAAATTAGCGTTTACTACCAAATAGAAAACCTAAGGACTAAATGTTAACGGACAGGAATCACTGGGAAGCAAGTATTTTGGGAATCATGTGTACACATCCAAAGGGAGTTATTGCCCTCTGGAAATGGAATAAACTGAAAAGACGTCAGCTACTTCACCCAGAAAAATGGAAAGTCGTATCAACCATCGTGTGGTTACTTCAGGGACAACTATGATATGGTTAAAAAATTAACAATCCTACAGTTGGCGGAACAATATTTTCGTTTTCAGAAGAATTTTAACGTCATCTCAACCATCACTTTATGGTTGTCCCTAAAGTGACCATACGATGGCTGTGACAACTTTGCGTTTTTCTAGGTGTTGTCTAAGAGCCACATTGGAAGTTTCACAGGATGCAAAATGTTTAAATTTGACTTCATTTTCAAAACAAAAAAAATCCAGTAGGCTGATATGATTTTGTGTCGTAAATGACGAGTAGACCTGGCACCAGGTTTCCGACTGGTCTCCGCGGCACAGCTCCCTTCGGTGTGGCGTTGCTGATGTCAGTCGCTCCACCGTTATTTCGTTAGATTTCCTGTACGCTGCGCTCGCCGTTCCGAGAATCGTCGACGCCCCCTGCACCTTGGCGTGCTGGCTGCGCGCGGTGAAGGTGGTTGTAGTGCAGGAAGGTGGCGGGGAGAGAGGGGGGGGGGGGGGGGGGGGGGGGGGGGGAGGGGGGGGGGGGGGGGCGTGGAGGAAGTGAGACCACCAACCCGCGGGTGAAGTGAAGGGCGCGGGCTGCCGCCGAGCCCTCGCGCGCGCTCGTGAGTGTGGAGCAATGGGGAAAATGGATCCAATATCCTGTATATTCCGGCGCACCCCTAGTGCTCCGAGCTCCACAGCCCGAGTGTGGGGTGCGGGGCCCGCGAGGGGGTGCCCCGCGCAGCTCCGCATGTGGCCGTCGCAGATAAGGGATTTGCATCGTTCCGCCG